TGAAGCTTTGTCTGACATACTTTGGGCAGGCTGCAAGGAGGGACTAGTCCTTGGATAGGGACATCGTGTTTGGGAGGGTGGAGGGACAGACAGCACAAGAGAGGAAGACCCTCAATGAGATGGACTGATTCAGTGACTGGGGTAATGGGGTTAGTTAGGTGTGCAAAAGACAATAAGGTTGGCACAGGATAGAGCAGGGTTTAGGGCTGTTGTACATAGGGTCGCTATAAGTTTCAAGCAACTTGACAGCACATAACAATAACACCATTAACACATCAGAAGAGTCCCTGGAAGACATCATGCTTGGTAAAATAGAGGGCCCACAAGAAAAGAATGACCATAAACTAGACGGCTGCAACAATGGACCAACACATAACAATGATTGTGAAAGTGCAGGATTAGACAGAATTTTGTTCTGTTATACATTGAGTGCCTATGAGCCAGAAGAAACTCATTGTTATCTAATAACAACATTCCTTGCTCAAGCATGAAACCTCAGCATGCTATAAATGAGATTATTTGCACACCATTGATCCTAACATCTTTTCCCAAGACATTAATATCCTAAGTACACACTAATACAAAAATACACTAAAGTCTTCTTAGACTCTATGTTAAAAGATTTATTATTCTTTTCTTTTGATGATGAATGGTTTTTCCCAAAAATAGTATTATAATTTATGCTCAAAATGGAATTCATTGTGGCCATTATCAGATACACAGTGACTACTTCATGATTACTTCAGATAACCAGACATGATTATAGTATAGAACAATATGAAATAAAAATATTTTAAAGAGATCTAGTAAAAATTTTGTTTCCACATAGCAATCATCTTACAAAATATCTTAACTAGAGAATGAATTGAAATAGATAAATTTGTATCCTTAAAATATTTTATTAATGTGAATTCAATATTTCAAAAAATAAAGCACAATATTTTTATTAATATTCATATTATTTGCAATTAATGATGCTTGAAAATTTTGTAGTTTTAATGAGAGTAACTAAACAATATAAAATACTCCTTGAGGTAGAAATATTTTAAAACTTTAAAATGCAATTCACAATTCTAAGAAATCCTGTTTTATTAAAAATGCTATTATGGCCCCTTCCCCCCTAAAATGAATATATTTCTTATGGAAATGAAATTGAATTTGTTTCACTAAATAGAGTGATAAGTACTCTCTTGCACTCTGCCTTTACCCCTCAAGTTTAGATGTTTTTCAAGCGAATTAAATTATGGCTGGTCTTGTTACAGCTTACTGAGCTTCATTATTCTTTGAATCTATAATGTAATGATCACATTAAACAAAAACATGACAATGTTCATCCATCAAGAGTGTGCTTTCAGAGATCAAAAATCAAATGCCAAAAAGTGCCTAGCCTAGTAGGGTTCCAAGTACAATCGATACGACATTTCTTCAATGAATAAAAAGGCAATACACCATCAAGATACAGAAAACGATAGCTAAAGTTGACCATGCCCATTTGAGCTCTTTTAAATTTCTTCTAAGTTGCCAAGTCAAGCTAGTTGTTGTTGTTGTTGTTAGGTGTCACTGAATCAACTACAATTCATAGCTACCCTAAGAACAACAGATCCGAATCTTGCCCTATCCTGTGTCATCCTCACAATCTCTGATGTGCTCAAGTCCACTGTTACCATCAATGCATCTTGCTGAAGGCCTTCCTGTCTTCTGATCCTCCACCTTTCCTAGAACAGTGACCTTTTCCAAAGACCAGCTCCTCCTGACGATGTGGCCAACACATGCAAGATGAAGCTTCACCATCTTTGCCTCTAAGGAATACCTTGGTCGTACTTCTTTCAAAACAGTTATGTTTGTTCTTTTGACCATTCTGGTATTAATATACAATACTTCTGAGATAAAAAGCTGATGAAAGCTTGAAAAAAATCATAGCAAGTCAAGAGCAAAACTGGTCTGTTAGGGTCTATGGTACCGTGGCACCTTTCACATGTTGAAGCAGCGGCATTCAGCAGAAAATAGTCTTCTAGTCCACTGAGGGTTGCACTGTTAACCCAAAGGGTTCACAGCTCTCTGGTGCTTCAAATGCACCAGCAACTCCATGGAGATGAATAAGCAGCTTCCTGATGTGTGTTTTACAGCCTCGGAAACTCACTGGAGAGTCAGTTTTGAGTCAATTCTGACTCCCTGGCAGTGAGTGAGTGAGTGAATGGGTCAACTTCAGCCAACAGATAACAGATGAGCATACCAAAACTAAAATTCCTTGATTTCCAGTTAAGATTTGCCAATAGTCCACACAGCTCACATAACGTAAAAACAGAGCAACCAAAATATGACAAATCAAGATCCCTGAGTCAACAGACCAGGGCTGAGAAGAAGAAAAGCTTATGTAAAAGAATTTTTTTTCTTAAAAAAAAATTTTAAGCGATCACAGAATATAAGCCACTTACAGGTATATGCCCTGATGATTATAAAGGGCACACTGAAAGACTTATTAATAACGAATCAGAACTTCATAAATGATATAAGAATCATGAGGAATATAAATTTATATAAATAATTTCTCACTTTCATAATAGTATTTTTAAAACTAGACAATTTAATTAAAGGACTATATAAATAATCTATAGAATAATGCATAAGCTAGACTTCTGAATGGCACACACACCCATGTCCACCTACAGAAAAGATAAACTTCGCAATTATTGGCCTTTGGATTTAGTTCACTAATTGCATCCTGTATTTTGGAAGGACAATAAAAAAAAACACAAAAAACAAAACACACCCTCTATTTGCAGCTGCTTCTACAGAGCAACAAAAGTTGCTTAAGAAATCATATATACACATACGTGTAAAATTAGGCAAACAAGCCACTTTATTGCCCTGATTTAAAATAAGCACAATCAGTAGGAAAGAAAAACTCTCTACTATACAGCTTGATGAGCAGCTGAAGACAAGAATATACACACTCCGTTTTAGAATTCAAGATAACTGTCACACAATGAGTTTTGAATGAGATGAAGGATATTTATCCTCATGATTTTTCTAAACCACTGAATGAGCAAACAGGATTAATGTGGGCAACGGAACTCATAATAGACAATTACGTAAAAATTCTTATACCTAATCCGGAGACTTTCAGGGCAGAAAGAGAAAAAGCTTGTTCCTATTTAGTTTTATCTTATCAAATTATTCATTTGATAAATCGACGAGACCTTATGCTTAAAATAACTTTTGTAAAATAGTTGACAATAACATTTAAGTTATGAAGTTACTGTTAAAAGCTAAAGGAAAACACATCAACTATATCACAAGGGGGAAAAAAATAAATATTCTTTTAATACTATTATAAAGAAAACCAGAAGGCATGGGTCAGGTAATGATTTTTCCAGGAATCTGGGGCATGAAGAACATTGTAAGTAAGTGAAATATAGAAAAAGCCTTACTCTTGACGGTCGCTGTCCGAGTACAGTTGTAAAGAATGGCCAGTTCCCCGAACACTTTTCCTGGGCCCATAGTGCACAGCTTCACTCCTTCCTTCGTAACTTCCACCTTCCCATCTGAAATAAGAGAGAAAAACACGATTCCTTAATTCTGTCACATACTTGATTTCATTTTCAATATGATATATAATATGCTAGTCTATTTTAAAAAAAATGCAAAATCCTCACCAATTTACATAAGGTAGCTGTCAAGATTCAATGCTAGAAAAGCCAGAAAATACATGGACTTAAAGAGGGAAAATACGCATATGCTTTCTTGATCGCTGATCACTTTCACTTTTAGTTGTTGAGTGCCATCAAGTCAGAACCATTTCAAAGCTGACCTTGCTATGGATTTTCAGAGGCAGTAAATCACACAGGAGAAGACTGTCCATTTTTCTCCTGTGGAGCAGCTGGAGGATTCAAACCCTATACCTTTGGGTTGGCAGCACAATTTCTTAACACTAAACCACCAGAGCTCCCAAGGGCACAAAGAAGGGAGTAAAAGGAAGCACCAACTAAAGAGGGAAACAGAAATATTTACAAGGGTAAAAATATAAATCAATGATAAAAACCAACATATATGAAATGATGACAAGTGCAACAGTAGAAGTCAATGGTAATTTCAACTTTAAAATAATTTCAATCTGAATGACAAATGGAGTAATCTTTCTGGCTTGTACACTTCACACCTCGTAAGTCACGTACTATGGAAAAGAAAATGAGTTTGACTTTTGTCTATTATTTGACACTTGTGTTATCTTTTTATGTTCAAATATCTTATCTGACTGGGCAAGATTGTTTATTAGGCTCCCAGCACTGCCACACAGACTTTAACAAAAACAAGCTAAAATTGCTGTGGGGAAAGAGAGGCACCAGGACCACAAAGGAATTGGAAAATAAAATGCTGAAGGAGAAGAAAGGAAAGGAAACACTATACAACAGATGCACATGTGGGGCTTTAAGTATGGAAAATGGTATTCATAAGAGAAAAGAGAAAAACACATTAAAATATATAAAGGGGGAAAAATAAAATCATAGCTATGTAGATTAAAAATTCCATCACCTAACACAACAAAGGTAGGAAAAAGGCCAACACAATCTAGTCTCAGCTTAATCTTCCTACTATTCCTCAACCTAACTTATCCGCCGTCTGCAGAAGAACAAAATCTAATGCTTTGCAAAAGAATTATCTCCTACTGACTGACAGGCACCAGAGCCAGACAAATGTTTTCCAAACTTCAGGTCATCTTGTATGAACTCCTGAGTTGCTTCTTACTGAACATTTTATAGAGTGTTGATTTTAAAACTGTTCCTTCCTTTCAAATGCTGTATCATTTTATGCTAAGAAATAAACTCAAAACTCACTGTGTTGAGCTGACTCTGGCTCATAATGACCCTCCACTGGGAGGAGACCACGCACATCTCTCCCTCAGAGTCGTTTTTATCAGTGGAAGTCTCCTTCATGAATCTTTGGGTTAGTAGCATAATGCATCATGGGGCTACACCATCAGGGGTTCCCTCTAAGCAATAATGAACAATAATAACTGAAAATCACAAATTTGACATGCTAGGGTTTCCCCTCCCCTTCAAACACCTAAGAGGGTGTAGTGGCTTACTGTATAATGTATAGGACAAAAGTTGGCACTTCTAATCCACCAACGGCTCCAGAGGGGAAAGATGGGTGGTCTCCACTAAAAGAGTAGCTGTTTGTCGACATGGATAGAGGGTCCCTTTGAGTCAAAATTGACTTTATGGCAGTGGGTTTTTGGATTATTGATATAATAATTTGTTTATTTATTTCAAGGTTTCTCTATAACAATGGCACAGAATCTACTTTTTAGGATGCACTGTTCTATCTTAAAAACATTTCTTCTAAATGGTATCATTAGGTGAAAAAAGAATTATTGGAATTTGAAATCTTGTTTTAAGTTACAATTGAGTAGACTATGACTCACTGTAACTCTTTAAACAGCAGATCTGAAGTCTAGTGATTAGAATAAAGACACCCTAAAAATCTAATGACTACTCTTGAATCGTGTATATATGCCTTCATCTATGTAACAAGAATGAGCTAATCTATCAGTTCTGAGGGTCTGGATTCACTTTCTTTGCAGATATGACCACTCAAGTAGTCTAGCTTCCTCAGACACAATCTTGAGTTCAAGAAAGATATGTCAAAACTACTCCAGTAAATCAATCATCTCACAAGTATTAGCTTCTCTGTATGGTGTTTCTCCCTTCCTATCACTAAAAGTCTACTGCCCTGAACATTTCAACAGTGACAGACAAGTTCAGAACATAGTATGCTGGTTAAGAAATGGAAACTAACTGAGATCAGACTGGGAGTTGGATTGTTTCTCTTTTCTATTCCTCTTGTGACCTTGGGCAAGTTGCATCACTTCTCTATGCCTCACTTTCTTCATTAGTAAAATGAGTAACATAAAAGCATCTATCTACCTGACTGGTGGCTGACAGAATTGAATGAGATACAAGAGACATAAAACTTAGCACAAAGCCTAGCACATAGCAAATGTTAAAAAAAAGATAGCTTTTATTCTTGTTATTATTAATACAGAGGTAGGGTTGTTATAGTTAAATGAAGAACAATATTCGATCTATTGCAGCAGCAACAATTAATTCTCCAGATTGGATTATAAATTTATGTTTTGTAAATGTTGTTGTTGTCTGCTGTTGAGTTGAGTATAACAATCCTATGAACAAAAGACCTGAAATGTCTTTCTATAACTATCGTTGTTTCTCAAAGTTCATAGTTTCCAGAGGCATGCTGTTTAGGAAGTGGATGCCAAACAAAAAGCTTTAAAATTCTCTCTGTGTGTGTGTGTGTGTGTGTGTGTGTGTGTGTGTGTGGTGTGTCTCTTTCCCTCTCTCTCTCTGGTTGTTTAAAGAGAAAACTTTTCAGGTAAAATAAAAACTGAAGAAGAACACAGTAGATTAAGAAACCATGCTGGCTATGTCTGGGTAACACCTGATGTAGTTTTATTTCAACTAACAAAGCCTTGCGATGTGAGTTTCCAAAAATTACATAGCAACACATTTCCAAGAATTTCTAAAATGTTCTTAATTTAAAGGTCCAGCTTTGAGAATGAAAGGTCAAGTGGTCTCCTTCCCTAAAGATTACAGTGAGGAAAGCCCAATGGAGCAGTTTTACTTAGTAAGAAGTTGGTTTCTCTGTCTTTTTATTCTACAGTTAAAGGTTTTCAGTGGAAGGCTGGGGGGATGCGAAGGAGAACCATGGAGTTAAGACTGCTGCTAATAATCGTTAGAGTGTTTGAGGGCTGTGCATGCTCAAATCGTGGCCAGAGTAAATAAAGACAAGACGTATGACTAGGAGTCCTGTTTTAGCCCAGTAGTTTCTATGTGCCCACCTGTAAACCCATCATCAGAACAAATTAGTAAAATTCAGATCCACTCCCTCAGAGAGGTAGCAAATACCTCTACCACCTCCACATCCATCTCCCAAGTCCTACTCTTTTTACGTGAAAAATCATGCTCATATAGCACTACTCTGTTTCAAATTATGAACAAATTAATCTTTAATCATATTTTTCTCACATGACCTCCTAGAAGGCTCGTGGTCATGATCAACTTCTAAAAATTATATAAGACTCTGGAGTTTGAAATTTACACATCAATCTCACTTCTGACTGCAATTAATGTTCCTAACTCTATATTTGCATCATTTTTTTAATGTATTAAGTCATTTTTTTAAAGCTGGGTATAAATAATTACATGCATAAACTATTGATGTTGGTAACAGCAGGCCATATTATATATTAATTAGAATAGCAAAAACCAAAAGCAAACCCAAAACATCCACAAAAAATTGCATATTAGACACAAATAATATTTGAAAAAGATAACTGTGGATTTGCAGCATCATTTCTAGCTAATATTAAGCACTGGAGACTCAATACATTCATAATAATCAAGTAACAAAGAAAATCATACCAAAGAGATCGGAATGATTAAGCAAATTGAATACTGTGTTATTGTTTTATTAAAGTGATAAACAAAAATACATTGTTGTTAGATATAGTCAAGTCACCACTGACTCATCATGACCCTACACACGACAGAATTAAACCGTGCCTGATCCCGGGGACAGTGTCTATAAATTTCTAGTCTGAGTAAGAGTTTGATCACTTAATTCTCTCATCACCTATTGTATGGATGGAGAGAAAGTGATTCAGGGAAGCAGGAAAGACTGAGTGTTGAAAAGGAAGGTACTCACATTGCATTAATGAGAGATTTCAGAATAGAAATCTCTACGGCAGTGTGTTTACAAGAGGCATTCAGAAATATCCCAGATTCAGAACAGCTAGTAAAGCGAGTTACTGCTCTCAAGTAGAAAACTGGTTGGGGTTATTCAACACTCTATACATTAGCTTTGGGTAAAAAAAGTAAGTGATAAAACATTCATAAATTACTTTCAAGCTTAGACTGCACAGTTCATAGAAGAAAACTAAGTTACGTCCATGGGATAAACTCAGTGGCTCCCTAATTGAGCTTCCTTTAAAATATTGTGGCAGTCATAAAATAGGTAGGACTGACCAATGCCCTGTTCTTGTTGGTCTAGTTCATAAGGAGTTTCACTGCTAACCCAAGATGGAAAATCTCCCATGCAACTTAGGACACTCGATGGAGAGTCAGCTATGAATCAGATCTGACTTAATGGCAATGAGTTTGTTCTTAAAGCTGTTCGTTGTCCTTTTTTCCCCCTCAGTGATAATATCTGAGATTTTTTAAAAAAACAACACACAAGTCCCCTGAATAGCAATGAAATAAGCCTCTGAATTCTAACGAAGAAGTTCTATTTTGTCATATGTGGTTAGTGTGTGTTAGAATCCACTTGAGGGCACACTATCACTATGTGGTTCTTTCCATGACGGAAGTCTATGGGAAAGGGTGAGAGTACAGGATAAACAGGAAGAAGGATAGGGAGCCCAATTTTATTTTTGCCTGGGCTACACCATACTCTAGAAACTCTATGAACATGGAGAAATGATGAAAGTTACACAAGTGTTTGGGTCTTCGTTCATAGGGTAGCTATGAGT